AAGATGCCTAATGAAGGATGTAAATGTGCAGTAAGATGCCTAATGAAGGATGTAAATGTGCAGTAAGATGCCTAATGAAGGATGTAAATGTGCAGTAAGATGCCTAACGAAGGACGCAAATGCGCAGTAAGGACCCTAACAAAGGACCCCAACAAAGGACATAAACGTATAAACGTGCAGCAAGACGCTTAATGAATGATGTAAACGTCCAATAAGGACCCTAATTTTCACCCCAGTGGCTGCAGCTTGTCTATACCACCTGTTGTAGATGAGACATTAGGATTCACCCACAGAAGTTACCCATCATTTCTATACTGGTTTTTTGCACATATTCCAGTAAAACAAAGCAGCACACCATGTTTATACATGTATATGTTTTCAGATAAGAAACAAAAAAATTAACCCAATGAGACCAAGAGCTTTGAATTGTCATTTCCTTATGAATCATTGACAATGCCGATCCATCCATGGCAATTCAGATGTGGGTCCTGTGAGCACTGACCTCGGTGGTGGAGAGAACAGTGTCCTCATCCAGGCTTAGCACGGCGTCTGTTCTTATAGCATCGGAATATTGGAACCGACTGCTCATCACCTGCAGGGGGCAACAGGGTGAAGAAACTGTCTACTCATTGCTAGAGTGCTCTGTGTCTAGGCACTGCCATCATTTGTGCATTATTTACTTTGTTTACCCTGTAAAAATACATTTGCTGGTTCAACATATCACAGACCCAAGTGTAAAGCCCATGGCTGAGCGTCATATTGGGATTAAATTAGCAAACAACCAGAAAAGACCGGTTTTTCCTCCGTGACCTGAATGCTATCTCACGACTGCATCTTTAAAAATGCATAATACTGGAGAATCCAGAGCATCCTTTCTCTGGGCTACAAAAAGCCAGAGTGAACCATCTGCATGCAGCACATGCTTGTGATCTACACCACTCCCACACACAGGAGTATTCTTGTGGGTATCTTACAGACAAATTGCATTTGTATTCAGAGATCCCTTGGCTGTTAATCCCATTTTAAAAACGCTGTGTCACTCCTGTCGCTGTCCTTCATCAATCCAGTGAATGAGGCTGTACGTGACCTTTGACCTTTTCCTTTGCCTCTGGGTGATTCTCAGTATGCGTATTCACCGTACTTGTGTTCTTGTATACCCGTTTTACGTCATCTTCCATTGCTGAAGACTAGCTCCAATACTAAGAACAGAAGTACGGAGGACGGTTGTTCTTGCCATGCCCCGAATATCAAGGTTGCTTCCTCGCCAAATGAGACCAATCCCATGACTCATTGCGCCCCAAATTCATTCTTGGGAGGCAAGTTAGCAAGACCAGTCTTGCAAAGACCATAAGGAAGATCTTAGCCTTCTTGGTAATGCAAAACACCCCCTGTGACACCTCACACATTTCAGCCCATGTGGCCATATTAAGTCACCCCTTCTTCCTCCTGATTATGACAAAATCCCGGAACTTCGGGATGCAAATTGCAGGGAAAAAGCCATGTAATTATGTATCATTTCATTTTGCAATATGTTAACCAAATATCGAATGTGTATCAGCAATATTAAGCAGTGCTAGATCTGAATTACAGTGAAAACTAGAGCAAGCGGATGACTGTACAGCCCTCTCCTTGGTGCAACCACCCGCATAAGGTCCTGAACAAGTTCCTTCCAAACTATTTTCCACTAATCTCTCCCATATGTGCATTCAATCCGCTGCTCACTTATCTTATTGTCTTCATATGCTCTTTGTCCCGTCGGTGGGTTTCCTGGAGTAGCCCTTCCTCTTTTTATCTTTCTATCCAGGACACAATGAAAGCTGAGAATATGGTGATTCTAGTATCTGACAGCCTAGTGACCGTGACGCTGCTGGCTCACGTCCCTAGAGGGATGATGATCTGCAGGCATCCAGCCAACCGCTCAAGCTAAACTCATTCAAGGAAGAGAGAATCCAATCGTATAAATGAGCAGACGACAAAATCAGTAACACAGGTTACTTTGTGCTGAATGTAAGTACATATATGCAAATGGACAGCTCTCTGTGGAGAGTCAACCTGGTGCCAAAAGACATGCAGGGAAGGCATCGGACCCCTGCAGGGGGGGTGCAGTAGTCACCCAAGTTAGGAAGGTCCTTCATCTCAATCACTCCAGCAAAATGACCATTCGTAAGCCGCGAGGCCGGCCGCTACTGAGAGCACCAGCCGGACAATGATAGCACAAGAAACTGAGTGAAATAAACCCAGGAGAGTAAGAGGAAATGTGAGCAACGGGACCTTGGCGTCTCCCTCAATGACAACGACCGGCACTGAGACGGACGGCCAGCGGAACGCGGGGGGCAGGGCCTTCTCGCAATTCCACAGGACGATGATCTGTAAGGAGAAACGGCATTATCAGGCGATGGACCTCAAGACAGACACTGAACGTCACAGTGTGTCCAGGCATTTAAACATATTTGCGTACAACTAAATTATATTATATAATTTTGTCATAAGTGACAATTGTTAATGAAGAGCTCAAAATCTTAAGAGCCATCCAGTCCATGACATGGAGGAGAACTCAAACCTCGAGTCCACTGAGCAACTCGAGCAGCTAGTACCAAAGGAAAATGCTGCATCCGTCATTTGGACGGATTGTGGCTTTAGAGAACACGACACCGAAGAAATGTAAACACTGCGGGGCAAGAGTTTCAGCTACCAAAGGTAATACCACCAATTGGTTTCAACACTAGCGATATTTAAAATACAGTGGAAACTGCTTATAGTGATCAAGGTAATAGTGAGCAACCGCTTATATGGATGAAAAAGCTTAGGACAGAATCATTCCTGTACAAATACCGTTTAAATAATTCATGTATAGTAATCAAGAAGTCTACTTACAGTGTTCATTTTGGGCCTTTTTAAATACAAAACAACATACAGAAAACATAAAATTATGGTAATTCTTCTTTGTTTTTACTTGTCTACTTTAATGCCGTGGGGTACCCCGTTTGCTTCTGGCCAGCTACCGTTGGCTAATGCTGCTTGCACAGAAAAGTAATTTTCTCTGATTGGTCAGTCTATATTTGTCTAAATCAGCCTATAAGCTGATTTATATAGCGTATTTGAATTATATATAGTTAGATAATTTAATTTGTACAGTAATTTGAAAAGTACTGGAAACAGCTATACTATATTTTGAACAAATCAATAAAATTCAGCGATGCTTTATTACATTATATTCATTAATAAATATACAAAATCACATAGATGGCAATTTGCCTGAGACATAAAGAAAAAGAAAAAAATCGTTTATAATCATCAACCGCTTATAGTGATCAACTTCACCCAGACACACATGATCACTATAAGCGGTTTCCACTGCAATTTTTTTTGTTTGCAAGAAATGCAAATAATTTATTTTCTACCTTTTTAGGGAACTTGCTTTTTACATTAAAATATGACCTTTTTCATAAAACGTTTTCATTTCAAGCGATTTGTGCTTTGATTTCAGTTGTCCAAAATATTCAATATATAACCATAAATGGTCCATCTGTGTGTTTCCTTCAATTATTTCAAAATCATAAAGATATACAGTCTTTCATTAGAAAAAATATCCCAGCTTTAATAGATGAGCATATTTACAGTACAAACATTGTCAGTGAAGACAAAAAAACAAAGAAAAACATAAAACAAAATAATTCTTCATTAATCGTAATCAAGGTTATTGTTAATTCATTAAAGTTCATGAAATGCTCTTGTTATTGAAAATATTTGCAGACCTCTGACTTTGAACAAAAATCTGATGCAGACCTTAGATCAAAAACTTTGAAAACCTCAGTTGATGTTATTTACATCTGAATACACACAGTACTGCATGTGAATACAAACAGTATTACATGTGAATAGACTGGGTAATGCATTTGAATACACACAGTACTGCATGTGAATACAAACAGTATTACATGTGAATAGACTGGGTAATGCATTTGAATACACACAGTACTGCAT